TATCAAGCGGATACCTGGTGTGCTTAATAATGCTGTTATTGGGTCTGATACTAATTCGGCGTATCGGATCCGTGCATCCCTACAGAGCAGCGGGGAGATTTCAACCTGTTTTCAATACAAATAAGCTCAAATCTAATTTTTCACAGCTCTGCTGGAGCGATGTCTTCTTCCCATTCGGAACATTTTCCAAACGAGCAGGTTTTAATGAATGTTATGCTAATGCTAATGCTAATGTAACGTGAGGTTTTTAGGGGCTTGAGGAGGAATATATGTGAGATGAAGACTTGTGCAGATTAAATGGTCAAACATCTGAGAAAGCTCAAACCAGCTTCACCTCCACCAACTGTGTCAGTGATTATTGTTGTACGATACTCGCTTTTATAATGATTTTTTTATTGCCTCATTTATTGTACTATCTTCATGCATTGAAGTGTTTTAGTCCTCTTTCTATTTTGTGTTAGTTTCTATTTTTTTTGTACTTTATTTGTTTAATCATACATTTTTAAAAAATCTGTTGTATTTCTTGTGTCCCAAATTGTCACTGTTGGAGGACGACGCCTACAATGTGTGTCTGCGGCGACACAAGTCCTCTGAAGACCCTTCTGCTCATTCATTATCCCAACACAGTAATCTATAATCACCAAAATGGTCATTACAGTCATGACCAAGACAGGAGCATGAGAGATATTGATCCTGGGTGAAATGTTGGGAACCTCAATTAGCAAAAAAGGTAGGAAACGTGGTGTCTGATATACATCTCATTAAGTACTATTAGCAGAGTGTTGGGAGAGAGAAAAAAAAAAGAAGCTGCCTCACATATCTTAACAAAGCATTATATACGGCTGCAAGCTCAACAACTCTGCCTGTATGGTCAAGAGGAAGCCAGGTGTGCAGCTCAAAAGCGTCCATGTGATGACCAGGCACACTCCATAAATCATGTCACCTTCTCACATATTTTCAAACAGCAGCTTTCAGAAACGCACACACAGCAGCATAAAAAAATAAAATAAATAAATAAAAAATAGAGGAGAAGGTGCATTTAAAAGAAAAGGATTTCAACGTATTTAACACCCACTACTGCCCTCGCTCGGCCTCTGTACACCCACCTAGCTCTCCCATCTGCCATTCACAGAGGGCTTATGATGCTGCAATCTGGGAGGCTGAGATTATATGGGGAGAGGGCAGGAGACACGGCGAGGGAGGGGGAGCCGAGGGGTGAGGACTGGAGGAGGAAGGTGGAAGGATTTAAAAAAGTGCAGAGCGCTCAGCGTGGATTCATCTAGAATATTACTCAATACTCGGCTGCCTGTTGTGAAGCCGAGGCTCAGGCGCAGTCGTAATCTATACAGCCTCGTAAAATGATAACACGGGAGGAGGACGGCGGCCTACTATCAAGGTCAGCGTACGCAGAAACAGCCGGGCTGAAGCGGCTCGATGTGGCGCCCTGACACACCGGGACTTGAACACACCGCAAAGCGAACAACTAGCTGACGTGCATCTACGTTCTGTCGCCTGTCAGGGTGGAAAAACTAGTCAGCAGTCTGTAGTGATCACCAAAAAAAGACAAAAGACAGAGCTTCTCGAAAAGACGCACACAAAAAAATGAAACTATTTTTATGCTTTTGTGAGTCTGCTGGATGGGTTTTCGATTTGCCGGAAGAGAGGAAGGTTAACGCTGCAGTAAATGGGTGAAATACTTCTTTTTTCAAAGCACTAAGCCAGTCAGAAATTTCTCCCTCCGTTTACAGATCCAACATCCTGAATCAACGCTAGGGTCCATCGGCTCGGTGTCACAGCGCTCACACCGGACGTGATGCTGACTTTCAGCATGTTTTCTGAACAGATTATCAAGAAGGCACCACTGTATGACGACAGTCTTTAAGGAGTTTTGGAGGCACCTTTTAGCAGTTTAGCTTCACTTAAAGTAGGAATTGTGAGAAAGACACAGCAGACAGAGCTCTGAAGTTAAAATCCCACAACTTCCCTTCATCACATAAACCTTGTTTTGTGTCCTTTTGTGACACTGAACACAGACTTTGACATAAACGAGGACGACTATGACCTAAAACACACGGCAAGCAAAGCTCAAACATTAATAATGTGTTCTTAATGATGGCTTAGTTTCATTTAAAGAACATTTAGACTGAGGACCATCGACTTTGCTCTATGATGACGTCGACTATGTTTTCAGAGACAAGGGTCCAAACACGTAGTACTTGTACATCCACGGCACTGTGCAGCGTACTGTACGGCACCCTTTCAAAATGCCATGATATTCCATAATTTTAATTATTTATGGGCATGCTGGTGAACAAACGTTACACTGACTGTAGGAAGTGTCCTTAACTGACACAGCAGAAACACAGGCGTACGGTGGCACGCTTGTCTAGCCGCCTCTCCCATCTGCATCACCAGAGTGCATCATATTGCTCACTCCCCCACAGTGTTCCCTTGATCAGCAGGCAGATTAATCCTCTTGTTGACTCTGCACCTGTACCAGCATGGGTCTAACTTCTCTATGATCAGCACAGTCTACACGGCTGGACCTGAGTGTGCACACTTGTAACGGGACCAGCTGTGGTCGGGTGCCGTCCCCAGGCTGCAGAGCTGCTGACCAAGCGAGGGAGGCTGATTGTATCGATGGCTGATTAGAGAGTCCCGGAGGTGGGCTGGGACTGGAGCATCTTCTGCTCGTCTAATTACAGACTTAATGAGTCCTTAGCTTTAGTCCAAGTAGGCAAAGACGCCTCTGGAGAGGAGGCGGCAAGCCAGGGTTCATAAATCACCTTTTGCTTTGCCCTCTTCCACCCTGCACCCAAAGGTGCGAACGCACACATGAGCTGGTGTCAGGAGGTCGCTCAGAAAGCAAAGGAGCACCAAAGGTCACGGTGACTTCTACCTGATGCCACTGCTTGAGCCTGGATTCATTCTTCCTGATCTACTCTGTCAAGACAATTACAGGATTACATTCATCTTGAACCGAATCTACAGAACCTCTAATCCTGGCCCACTTTGACCACAGCCCCAAGTGGATGGATAATCAAAAAGAGGAGAATCTGGAGGGCAAAGAGGGCAGGAAAATATGGAGGATCAACTGCATCTGCTTTGCATGACAGCAGTGATGTTGTTAGGTATAGAACACAAGGGGGCAACTGTGAACACTGAAGCGCACCTTCTATCAGAATGTTTAGGTTGTTATACCATGAGGCAACATGTCTTTTGAAACCCAACAATCCTGTAATGTGACATCAGCAACTAAAACCACTTGACTGTTTGATTTGCACACGTACAACAGGCCATCACACGCACAGCAACAGTCGAACCTGATCGTCAAACGAACAGAAACGCTGGTTTAAAACTCAGGTGGCAGTCGACTGGTCCACTGTCATCGGTCGCAAAACTGTTGTGTTTTTACAACTCTGAACCTGCACAACCTATTAAGAGAGCTAAGCTAAGAGCAAACGTTCTAAACAGCAGTTTGTGTTATTTTCCTCAACATTTCTTGTACTGGAAAAACCAGTTGACATAATTGTATTTTCAGAAATCAATACGGGCAAGTACACGCTGGTCTGCTCCGGCTCTGCTGTAGTATAGAATAAACAGGTTAAACTAAATTTAATATGCTACAAATGCTATTTATGTTTATTCATAATTCATTTCAGCTGATCTGGCGAGCCGGCGCAGTGCACTTAGGTCGCTGTGGCCGATTTACTTAATCTACAGCTAATGTGAAGATTTCTTTTCCTTCCCAATAAATTGGAGAAGAGCAGGTATGACTGAAGTTGACCCAGATTATCTGTGGATGACAACAGACCTACAAATGAAGCATTGTAGGGCTGCAACTTACGATTGTTCTGTCACCGATTAATCTGTTTAATATTTTCCTAATTGACTCGTTTGCTCGGAAAACGTAAAAAGAACGTCCGTTGCGACGTCCCCGTGTCTGAAAATACTTCTTCAAACTGCTCGCTGCTCTGAATAACAGTTTGAAAATATTTGGTTTACTGTTATATCAGAACAAAAACAGCAGCAGATTTTCAATTTTGAGTCGAGCGCCGTCATCTCAACTTCAAAAGAACGTTTTCTTTATGTATCACAACAGGCACCACGATGACTAACGCCGTTCTCTGACTGCCAAAAAACACCATTACTTAGAAGCAAAGGTAGATCTGAAGTTAAGGTTAATAATTCTCCAGCTGTTATGTTTTCATATTTCTACAATGTCGGGCGTGTTCTCTCAGCTCAATGGCTGTAAAACAAAAACAAAAAAAGCGGTGAACTTTCTGCAGAGAGTCTGTGTTCTTGGCGGTTGGACTTAAAAGCTTTTCCTCGATACGAGTGAACGCATTCGGCGAAGAGGTCTCCTGGCACCACTACGATTAAAACGGATGTGGCGTCGATGTGCTTCATTTCTGTTGCATCAAATCTGACAGAGTTGTAGCTGAGAATTTTTTTGGTAACATCAGTGTTTAATGATTGATTGTAAAAATAAGATTTACGGTTATGATTAGGCTTTTTCACTCTGTTCTGGTGATAAGGAGGTTTGCTGTATTTCAAAAGTTCTCACAAGGGTCTCTTATCTATGGAGGTTGTTTGTTTTGGCTTTACAGTTGTGAAGCTGTTACTGAATAAATTTGCTTTTCTCCAGGTGGAAATTTCACAAAATAGCCCAAAGCTTCAGGGGCTACACAAGAAGAAGCAACGTCTATGTGGACCAAACCTACGTGACTTTTAACCCCATGTATATTTTTCTCTGGTTTTCTGTATAAACTGAGGACAGAATTGTGCCGTCACTGTCTTCCTATTGTGAACTTTGCTAGCCGTGATGTCAATATTAATTTTTCTGATGCAGTGCGGTACATTTTCACGTGGTTTGCATGTTTTCTGCATACTACATTTGCATGGGAAAGCATTATGGCGCCAGCTTTCTCCCTCGTGTGGGTGACAAATGGTCGCTTTGACACGAACCAACGCTGAACAGAACAGCGTTCGATTCTTACCTGTAATGTACATGTGTGACTGTGGGAGGCCTGTAGCCAAAGATCCAAGTCTGGATGTCCATGGGTCTTGCTTTGGGGTACGCTATGGTCACATCTATTACCCACTGCAGGCCTTTACGTTTATTAGCTGTCATGGAAGAAACACAAACACATGAAAGTCAGTTTGCGAGCGGACACAGGGACACGCAGCTTAAATATACTCAAGCATTACAATGTATTTTAGGTTCGCCATACTGAGCATGTGAGCATGTTCTCATTTGCATCCGACCAAAAAAAGATCACACGTCAACGGAGAGGGATTCGGCGCTACTTCTATAGATCACGTCGCCATGGTCCTCCAGCTCTAGGACAGCGTCTCTAACCAGCAGGCCTTCCTGGAGAAATTTATGTAATAGCGAAAGCAGGCTGGTTACCTGCCAAAATGACTGGTGGAATGTCAGCTGAAGTCTAAACTTAACAGAATTTGGCTGGCAGCTACATGCATGAGTCACGGTAAAAGAAACACTTTCACTTCAAAACAGAAATCTTTTATAGCATGTTAGCTTACCGACGAATAAGAGCAAAAAAAAAACTCCTGTCACATTTAATTCAAAAAGAAAACTGAAGGGAAATGGGTGAAAAAAAAGTAGTGAGACAGGAAGGGGAGGGATGACAGATGGGAGAGGGAATGCCAGACATGTGATTAAATTTGGAAGTCAGCTGCAGGGTGCATGTGTGGGAGTATTTAGTTGCATTAGGCAGGGTCAGCGCTGTACTCACCTGCACTTAATCACCAATACACTAAAATGAATGTCTGATAAGAATGATGTACCTTGTCTACATGCAGTGTCTTATTAACCTTCTGAACCCCAAGCACTGTCTGGGTGCTGCTGCTCCTGTAACGCTTTTACTCACTGTGGGCTCAGTTTTCACTGCAACACTAAGTCCTGCACGTCTTCGGAAACAGTAAGTAATGCCAGAAATCATTAAAAAAAAAAGTAAATTTCTCTGATTAATTTCCAAAAAAAAAAAAAAAAGTAGGAATCAATATGTGGAGCTTTTGTTTTTAAAGTGTTACATAATACTGGAAATAAACGGGGACTCTACTTACTACAGATAAGTGACTGCTTACGTCTTCATCCCATACTTGCCTCCTCTCTGCTCTGTGCCTGCAGTTCAAACCAGTTCAGGAGAAAGGCCTCTGAACTTCCCTGACGGCTCATAACAGCTGAACCACTAATGACTTCAGTGGAGAGATATCTTGTGTGTTTGTGCAAATTCTGGTTAGAGCAATTGACTTATTTTTGGCAAAGTTTTAAACGAGACGTGCAGAATAACATGATTTTGATAAATTGCTCTGATTTCATGCTTAGGTTTAGTCAGTTTTTCCAACAGAATGGCCTGTCACAGGGGGGCGTCTGCTAGAATACAACAGTTCTTTCTGTTTTTATGTTTTGCAGCCATGATAAATGAGGACTTTCAAACTTGTCGCCAGGTTTTGGAGTTTAGCGGATGTAACGACGTGAACATTACTGAGTGTGAAGTCTTCCAAGGTTTTCAAAAACACACGAGGGCTGTCCAAAGAATGCCAAAGTGTGTCATTTCCACATACAATAGGCGAGGCGCCACCACACAATCCAGTCTCGACACGTTCCAGGCCTGCCTCTCTCGCGGATGCACAGGAATGAACCTGGGACCAAGCCTTACACCTGACTGAACGCTCCACTGTGCCTTTAAGCTGAACACGCTGCACACGTTTGTCAAATGTAAAACAGAGAACGCCAGCAGCCTCCGTCAGCACAGACAGCTCTGAAACGAGCCTGATGTGAAGCAGTGCAGCATATTTGACTGCCTGGCTAATGTCACAGCCCAATGTGCTGTTACTGTGCAGCGAGCACTTCCGTCTCCGAGCACACTGGTGTCTTTGTGCGACGCAAACATGTCGTGTGACAAAGCGAGGCTTAATTTATAACTGATTGGGCGCATTACATTGCACTCTGTCAGCAGCAGTATAACAGGAAACGTTGCAAATGAGTTATAATTTCAACCTATTCATAAAATACAGAGAACTGGAGGGAGACGGTGGAGGAGTGTGACATTACCAGAGCAGTGGAGAGCAGACACACAACAGGCCCTCTCATCCAGGTACATGATGCACATGGCAGTAAGAAAAGATCAGTGAGGTCGCCTTGTCAGTCACGGTTCATCTCAAAACAAGAAGCAGCCGTTTCATTACAAATGTCACGTGAGTCTGAAGAGGACTTTTGCAAAATTGCAAAGAAAGAAAGAAAATGCAAATTAGGCTCGTTTCTATTAACCGCTGTGGAGCAAAGTGACGAGGGTGTGTAGTGTCGCCAGAAGGTGGCGCAGTCAGCTCCATGGCTGTAATAAACAGAGTAGAAGAAGCCAGACACAGAACCAGGTGTGTGGCATCTGCCTCAAAACCTCCAGGAAGAAGAAATTAAAACTTTGGCCATCGACAAGAGAGGAAACCGTTTTCAATCATCCATCCATCATCTATACACAGGGGCTGGAGCCTATCCCAGCTGACTCAGGGTGAAGACCACTCCTGTCAAGAGAGAAATCTTTGCTGTGACTCTTCCCTAAGGGGACAAGAGGACCCAAAATATGTCACCAGATCCCCTCAATCCATCCATCCATCATCTACACACCGCTTAATCCTCACTAGGGTCATGGGGGGCTGGAGTCTATCCCAGCTGACTCAGGGTGAAGGCAGGGGACACCCTGGACAGGTAACCAGTCTATCACAGGGCTACACTTAGAGACAGACAACCAAGCACACTCACATTCACACCTACGGACAATTTACAATCACCAATTAACCTCAGCATGTTTCTGGACTGTGGGAGGAAGCTGGAGAACCCGGAGAGAACCCACGCTGCACGGGGAGAACATGCGAGCTCAGAAAGATCCCGGGTGTCCTCACTGGGATGTGAACCGGCGACCTTCTAGCTGCGAGGCGACGGTGCTAACCACCGAGTCACCTTGCAGCCCGGTTTCAATCAGACAAGTTCTAATTATTCTTTTATGTCAGCTGGTATTGGTCTGAAGAAGAAGAGGGTTTTGTCTCCATCTTGAAGAATGCATGTCTGCAGACTTTCATTCTTCTTCGTATTCGTCTCACTAACAATATAATGCTTTGACTTTATAATAGAGAGTTAAAACTGTACTGCCTTGGCTACCTATCAAGTGTTCTAGTAATACTGGAAAGAGGCAAAGTGTTTAACAGCTGAGGGAACAACATGTGCTCTGTTAAATGCTGATATCGTCAAAATATTTTGAGTGCTTTGCTACTAACGTGCAGCATCACGACTGGCAACAACCAGCAGTCGATGCACCACATCTCAATACACATCCTCAGCACTACAAACTGTGTTGACTCCTCTGAATTCAGAGTAAACACGTCTTCTGTTCACCAGCAGTGGGTTTCAGTTGATGTAGCGACTGCTCTTGGCAGAGACTCGCAGCGGCTCCAGTTTAACGGACATCGTTACAGCTGCCATTTTGTCAAATCTGTGAACAAGTGAAGTTTTTCCAGTGGCTGAACTGCTCAGCGTTCACATGATTCAAACTGCCCCTTGTTTAATATCAGGTCTGATGTCTAAAGGCTCGTCCTGATCAGTTCACACAGTCCACTGATAATTTCTCAAAGCTAGAAGTCCTCACGTACTCTGCTGCTGAAATGAAGTACATCACGTCTATACCGGAGTGTATGGAAATATTGGCAATATGTAGAAGATGATGTAACGCTGCATCAGCTAAATAAATACACTTTGTAAGAGTAGCAGCCATGTTTGCTTGCGTCAGGATGGCACCCGGTGAACTTTCAAGGACTTTTCATAACTTTTCAGCCATGACAAGCCATTAGCCAGTTTTGCTTCACATTTTAATAATAACTATTTATGTATATTTCTATATGCAACGCCAGTCATGAATCACCTGAACACCAACTAGGTTCTGTGTGTTTTTGTTCTGAATGTGTCCAGCACCTCGATGGAATCAACCAAACAAAGCAGAGAAAACTCAAAAACGTCTTCTGTGCAGAACAGCGTTAATTACTGTACTGTCATTTCAATGAGGACTTAAAGTTGATATTTCTTTGGAGACACCGATTTTCTTCCTGGCATGAGGAACCTCAACAGTTGTTTGTTTTCAACTATTACATTAAATGCCAACTATTCTGATAATCGATTAATCGGTTGGAGCAGTGTTTTTAAGAAAGTGAAGTCTATATTGTTTGATTCCAGCTTCTTCCATGTGAATATCTTCTGGTTTCTTTCTGTGAAAGTGAAGGGAATGTCTTTGGGTTTTGGATGAAACAACACATTTGTCATGTTGGGCTTTAGGAAACACTGATCAACATTCTTCACCAGTTGTTGATATTTTATTGATTAATTGAGAAAATATTTCAGATTAATCGATAATGAAAAATAAGTTGCAGCCCTAATGAGCCACAATCTAAGTGACCTGACAGCTGCTGCATACTGTCATGAATCTAGTTTGCTTGTTAATTACAGTCAATGGATTAGTTGTCTGACACTGTTTCACCTCTAGTAAAGACCTCAAAGGCCAACTTGTGTTCAACCTGTATTGGAAATGCGTTCAGCTCACTGGATAGCTGTGTACTTACATGCATAGTAATGTGTGACCTTTAGGAACACCTCTATTTACCCAACATGTCTTTTTCCGAAGTGGCCAAACTAAATGGACGATTCAGAAAGAAGCAGCCGAGGAACAAGCGGGCTGATTCATACCAGTGTTGTAGTGAACTGATAGGAATATTTAGGCATTGATGTGAACGGCTAACAACGCAGCTTTCCCTGTGTGGGTAATTGGATCCAGAGCTCTGTCCAAGCGTGCTGAAAAGCAGCCGTTGTCTCCCGTGAGCGGCCGGCCAAAGAACAGGGACGTGAGCCAAGGTATCGCCGGTGCCCTATACGTCGTGACAAACAATACTGTAATAGCAGCAGCCGTGGTAATTTGAAATGACATCAGATATGCCCTGTCCTTCTGTAAACAGTCAGGGGAAGGAAATACACTGGCAGATATCTGGCTCTCCATCAGGCCACTCTGCAGGCCAATTACAACACTTGAAGCCCACACCTGTCCCTCCTACTGACTGAAGCGTGGAGAAAAATTGCGTCTGATTGGTTGCTGTTATCAAACACGTTTACCTGTGGGTCACACGGAGCTCCATTCCCACCCTAAATGAGTCACAGCGGTGAACTTTGCTTACCTGCCAGCTGTAAATATGGTTTTATAACACAAACCTTATCGGTCTTAGCGGCACACGGAGGCTCTCTGCAGCCTGTGAGCTGCACTGGTGACCAGTGACCCACGTGCTTTGCATTTGCACTGAGCAGTGCATTTAGCCCGGGTGACATTGCATGGCTGATACACAGCGGCACACACATTTACATCAAATCCTATTTTCTCCAAGTGGCCCATTTGTCTCTGAGTGAGTCAGCAAGCTCTGGGCACCTCTGCAGAGCATCAGGGAGGGTCAGAGGGAGACAGAGCTGTGTCTTTGATCACGCACACACACACACACACACACACACACACACACAGGACAGTGAGGGACACAGCGCTCTTGTGGCTATGTGTGTTTTCTTGCCCTAGGTTTTAATGCCATTAGCTAGATTCAAGTGGAAGGACAAGCCCTACTGCAGCAACCAGCTTCCCCTCCTCCTGAGCTGCCGGAACAGAAGAAAGGGCATAAAGCGATAAGAAAGAACTGGGAGATAAACTGGACGTACACTTTACAATAACAGGGACAAACACAATTCCCATAATGTTTAAAAATCCCCTTCGCATCAGGAGTTGCTAACACACTATCATTTTGTGTTTGTTGACATTGACAGGGCTGGATGAACACTAAATTCGTGGAAAATCCCAAACGTAAACCTGCACGTACAGCGCCTAACTTAGAACATGAACGGCTCTGTGGTCATCACATTTCCTCTTTGGCTGGACATCTGTCCTGCAGAGAGATGAACGGATAGCGTCTTGCTGTTAGAGAGCTTTGTTAGCAAACTCGTGAGAGGCTAAAGTATCTTAATGACGCCGGTCCAAAGCCTCTACAATTTACTATTAACACAGCACACCCTTAAAATGGATTTTGAATGAAAGCCAGGAGAGTCCACTGGGTAAACTGAGTGTGCACGGGCATGGGGGACTCATCCAAACTGTGTGTTTATGAGCGTTTTAACGCTGCGCTTTTTGCTGAGCACTGCTCCAACGAGAAGGTTTACTGAGTTATCTGGATGATTTTGCTGACTAACAGCTTAACATGTAATTTAGCATTAGTCTACAACTTAAGGAGGTGCTAGCATTGCTCTTGGAACAAGGCTCTGATCCAGGCTTTAGGAGCATCACCCATCCACATGTCTTCTGGTCATGTGATTAGCTCATTTTAGGACAATATATGTTTAAGTCACACCTTCAGATAGATCACTGAGGACATTGCATATTGGAGTGACTAATGAGGAAGTAGTAAGAAGGAACCTGTGCATTTGCAAAAATGAAACCCCAAAAGCTCAGACACAGGAGTGGGTGCATTTGTGGTGAAAGATTTGACATTTGTGTCAAACTGAGTCATTTCCTAGAAAATGGGAGAAATGAATTATCTCCACTACAAAACAGTAAACAATCACACCTGTACCTAAATATGTACAAACATAACCGAGACAAAGACTACAGAGTGAGAGATGTGCACCCAGTTGGTTCACCTGCTTTGCTCATGTTGATTTTTCATTTTTCTTTTGTAAATTTGTTTAAATTGCCACAAATAAAAAAAAAAGAAATAGAATTTTTTCTCTCTCGGACCTTGTTAATTGCAGCTTTATCTTCCTGCTCATTGGCTGTATTTAGGGCTGCTCTCTAGACAGAAAAATTACTCTCCTGCAAATCACCACTGGGGTTTTCAGGAACATTGATGCAATTTCTGGCACCTCTGCGCATGTCTCCCCTTTCCTCTCCTGGCAATCCTTACCACCGGTCGCTTTTCATTTAAAGCAGGACTCCCAGAGGACAGCGAGACACAGAGGTGATGATTTCATGCTTCATGTTTGAAGCACGCTTCAGATTTTTTTTTTTTTTCTTCCCTTACTTCACTGCCTCACTCGCCCCTGTATACTGTAGTTCTTGATCAAATGTGGTTTTATGTGTAACTACAGTACACAGCGTGCAGAGGAGGAGTTCACAGAGACTGCTAAGTAAAGGAGGAAGATTTTATTTTTTTCGTCAAGACTCCCCCAAAAATAGCTCTGTACTTTTTGAGACCCAGAAACAATCTTTGTAGTTACTTCATTTGTGCTTCGTGAACCAGACACCAGCAGACAAACAAGCTGCTTGAAAATTATTTGACTCAAACTTCAAGTCTTTCAGTACGTGTTTGTTGTCGTTACCTGTCTGGTTCAGGGTCCCAGCGTCGCCGCCCACGCTGCCATTCTCCTGCTGGGCCGACAGGGTTTTCAGGATAATTTGCGTGGCCCCGAGACGAGGCAACGTGACATGGGTCAGGTGGGGGAGAGAGTTCTTCTTGGCAAACAACTGGCTGGTTTCCCGCCTCTTGCGAAGAAAGCCGCCCTCGGGGAACAGCACTATCCACTTCCTGTCACGGCTGTGGTAGTATTTGTCTAGGTGATCTTTCAGGTAGACCAGCTGCTTATCTCGGTGAGCTTTACCCTGAAGGGAAACAGAAAAGACAAGGAAAATGAACACGGGGTAAATAAACTAATCACACAAGTTAGAAATGGTTCTCAAGCGTTTGAAGCAGGTTTCCAGTCAAGACATGACTGCAGTTCAAGCTCTGAACCCCAAAAACTTTTGCAGAGTTTAAAAGTTTTCTT